AAACTTCAGACAAGCATAAAGTCGTCAATTATTAAGCGAAACATATGAAACTGACAATTGTCTTTGGGTTGTCAGGGTCAATCATTGATATGAAATGGTTTTCATGGATGTTCCTCTACCCTAGAAACCTATGACCGAGTACCCACGTATACGAATGGGCATAACTCTGCACTGTTTCGTCATAAAATAGCACATTTGGTCATTCTCTCATTTGTATATATACCAAATATAACCGGTCCCTTACACCATTTTCAAGAGAAGCAAATAGATGTGTAAGGGATCATTTCCCATTTTGCTGTACATAAAATGAAGAGTGCTGTAATAGTCCCGTTGCTACGGTGACATTTTGTATGTATGAAAATTTGGACGCGTATGCAAATATACACACGTGTGCAAAATATTTTTGCAATGGGTTCATTCACACTTTTAATGCCATGAGTATATATATATATATATAGTCAACAATAAAAGTAATTCCCTTTTGCTATTGTGATGGAAAGGTTTTTAGTTTTGCAAGGGTAACCAACTAAAAGAGCAAGGGAAACAAGTGTTACCGATATTCATGGCTACTGAACACCTGAATAGATGTAATTGTGGGTGTTTTGGGTAAGCTACACCACTACCGGTGTTATACTGCATTTACACCAAAGGGTGTAACTATTATTGGGGAATAAATCCTAGAACAGTGATAATTTTACAGTGTTTATTGGGTTGCAAAAGTGTAATCGATATTCAAGTAATGAACACCAGGATAGATGTAATTGTAGCCGTTAAAGGGTGTTTGGGATGAGCTACACCTCTACACGCGTTTTATTGCATCAACAGGTATAATTTTTATTAAGGAACTTTCCTCTGAATAAGGTGTTAATTTTACACGGTATCTTGCGTCACAAAAGTGTTTGTGTACTCCAATTTAAGTGTTTTAGTAAAATATGACGTTAATTGCATTAGTAGCACAACTATAACTCATTTTAGAGTGTTTACTCATAACGAATATAAGTCTTCCTGAATATTATCATGTATAATAATCTTAATAATTTTTCATGTCTCAAATATAGATTATTTTAAATAGTATACACTTAAACACATTTAAATGGTCCAAAATATTACCAAATACTATATCTTAATTAATTATTCTTAATTCAAGTGAGGTGCATAAATGAATAAACCACATTATTCAGCTAAGTTATAAGGATATGTGTATTGATTTCTCCTTATGATTTATATTCATTGTAAATTGATACAGATTGTCTAATTGCCCAACAGCAGTTGAATTTGAACCAGCCTGGTGGATATTTGTCGTTGTAAAATGAAGCGAAATAGCCGACGATCTATTATGTAATCTAGGTCGGGCTAAATGCCCTATACTAAATATCATACAGACCAATAGTCAATTTCAAGTTTTCTGAACTTAGAAGTCGTTGGCGTGAAATAAATATCCAACAAAATAAATTACACCGGCGTTGGTGTAATAATTAAAATGGAAGTGTAATATACAAAACATCCTTGAGGTGTAATGCTTAAAGGACAATATTGGTGCCAGTCATTATCACATATGTGATAGAGCTGGTTAAACACATTCCAAATATAATTTTAATATAATCTATACACCCACGGGTGTAAACTATTTAAGTATAACATCACACTGTCTGAGTGCAACACTCATCCGAATGTGGTGTATCAGGCAGCTTACACTATTGGGAGTGGCAACTAGTTTCCATCTGAATTGGTGTAATGTTCAAAATTAGTTGTGTGTTATCAGTTTACGCCACTAAAGGCTAGGAGTCACCCCTATTTAGGCGGCAACTAATTTCCACCCGAATTGGTGTAAACTACCTTATTATTTTTAACGGTGTAGCAAGACAAAATGCTTTTACTCATATGTTGTAGTAAATTTGCACGTAGTCCATGTACGTAGTCCAGACCCGGTGCAAATTTCTGAAAATGTGCAAACAGGAGTAAAGTTTGCATATAAGTAAATGCGTTCATACTGCCAAGTTTACTCACGCAAGCAGATCTACATATATGTATCTGTAAAAAATATACACATGTGCAAATCTCGCCGTATAATGGGGTTTTTTTTCATTAAATGGGAAACATTTGCTAAAATACTCGTCAATATCCGTTTGCTTGGCTCTACAACGTTATAGTGTGCATCAGATGTACGATAATTCATCCGCAGAAACTAAGGAAAAGGTCAAAGTTCACTACGTGTGGCTGCTGCTTTATGTGATGAATTGGAGATAAGAGTGGGAGCGACACGATATATAAGCATCTGCATCTGCTTGTGTCGACATGGTAAAGGTAGCTACTGAAGCGGTAGATTTGGATACCATGACATTAATTGGGGAGGACATATACCTTCTGATATTGCAATTGCAGGTGCAAAATGCAAACATCCGTGCGAAAAGACTTTATTTTCGTTGCGACAAACAGAATGAAAAATTTGTGTATGATATAGTTTGTCTCAAGAAACTTCTGATATCTAGAGTATGTTTCCAAGTAAGTTTTGTTTTTTTGTTTCTTCACGCTTTCGGTGTGTGTGACAGCACATCCAGGATCCATGGCGTTGGTAAAACGTCGTGTCTTTCTGTGGACATAAACTGTCCATATTGCGTCATTGTAATGCCAGGTGTAATTTTTATGTTCTAAAAACAGTTCAGCGTCATGTTCCAGAATAAAGATAAAAGTTTAAATGTTTTAGAGCGTAGATGTGCCGATCTATATAGTATGTCACTATAGGGCTATATGACTACATACTTCTTTTAATGGGCTCATTTGACATTTTGATATCATATTCATATATGTTCATAATACATTTAGGATTTTCTTGAACATTGATTGGGCGTATAGATTTTTCAAGCCCCGCCCCACAGTTGATGGTATTGTGATGACATGTGTTTAGTTGTTTGGATGGGATTTGTATTATTAACGCACCCATATAACGTTTGACTTTAGAATGTATTTCCAAAATTTACGTCTTTTAATAATTCTGTTAAAATGTACGTATTTTATTATGTCCAGCAGTGAATTAGTTAAGTTCCTTAACCTGCTGCAATATTTTGAAAACAAAATGAAGACAAACTCTTCACCCACTATGAATTTGAGCCTAGTGTAGATATTTATTTTAGAATTTTTGTTTTAAAGATGCATTATGTAAGATTTAGATAATGAGCTAGGCGTTCTTGCTATAGCAGTTCAAAAATTTATAATAGAAAATGAATATATTGAACATTTCAATCAAATTAATTTATTCTAAGCGAAGTTATGAGTGCTTGAAGTGTTGGCAATATAGTCTCGATAGTCAAGTACCCTTGCTACGATAATAAATAGTGTCGATAATTCATTTTTAAGTTAATTACTTAATGGCGAGTGTGTTTTAATCCATTCAAAATCACTGCCATCCGATGATCCAGAAAGTTGATTATGGGCTTGGTATGTTAATAACAGTTGGATTAATAATTTATATAACAATTGAAGCCAAAAGAGGCAAATTTGACTTTATCTGTTATATATGTAAATTATTTACTAATTATTTTCACCCGATGTTTCTGTTAATGTACGAAAAACCCAGGTCACGTGTACACATTGGCGTGCACGTAAAAGATCCCTTGGCAGTTGGAATTTGATATATGAGTAGGCCGTAGTCCGGGCAAAATGACCCTTATGCACACTGCATGGAGTTGCCCGTCGAGCAGAACAGTAGGGCGTTAAACCCCATTTCATTTCATTGTTATCATAACAATTAGCCATTCGATCTACAAAATCAAGCGCCCCCTACGTCACCAAGAAGGCAGTAAGCAGCCGGCTGTCTGTTAGTGACTCCCTTGAATTTTTGTTCCATGGGTGTTTTTCAGGGGATCCAGAATTTTCTAGTAAGATTGGGCATTTCTAATTTCCATATATTATTATACCAAATGCGCCATACGTTTATTGGAAATATCTACTCTATACAGAGTTTCGTGTGAGGGAATCTACTTTAAATATAATATTTGAGACATCCTCAAATTTTATTCAATGGTTGTGCAGTAAAATAATCTTTTATTGCAAAAGCAGTAATGCATAAGGATCTGGCGGATCCAACTAGTCACCGTAAAGGGCTGACAAGAGCGTTTTTGCAAAAAGAGAGCAAGAAAGAAAATGTGTTATAGATATGCATATTGTACGCTTCATTTCCAAAATCTAAATGATTTCATAAAAAAAATGACAAAATTTTGGATAAGTACAATATACAAAAACCCTCTCTTGCCAGTTCAAAATTTCAACTATCCATATCTTTTTCAAATTTTTATGAAACCATTTAAATTTTGGATATGGTGTGTAGAATCAGCATATCAATTACATATATTGCCTCGTCGGTCACTTTTTTGCAATACTTTGGGTGATCAATAAGACCGTTATGTCATAATTTTAATTATCCATAAATTTGTCAATTTTTTTAATGAAAATATTGAAATTTTGGATCTGAAAAATAATTAATTTTTATTGTTCATAAAATTGCATTTTACAGTATTCTCTGTTCATTAGTTTTAATTAATGTTCTTACGTCACACATTTTTAATAGATCGATAGGGGAACCAGGGCCATTTTTATCAGTGGTAGTGCCGTCATTGTTTCCTCGTGGTTCGGATGTACTTTCAGGCACATTATAAAGCGTTGGACAGATGGGACTTAAAAAAAAGAGAAAGGCGAACGTCTCCGCCAAGGCAAAATTCTCTTTACAGTTCTTTGGGTAATGGGGTTTAACTTCCACTCTACACAAACTTGGTTTTATTTTATTTCAATAATTCGCTTACGCGTAGGAGCCTTTGCAGTTGAGCGAAACCGGAAACCCGGAGAAAACCCACGATGTTGTCCAGGCGACCCTACTCCTTGTCAAGTACAAATTGTGAATCGAAACCACACTACTTGACTCAAAGACAGACCTGGTGATCTAAAGCGCACGCGTTTGACCATGCACCCCTCGCCCCCACCCTAACGAAAAAATAACTCAGGCTTACCTGGTGGTGAAATGAAACAGCTAATTTGTCAATGGTGTTCTGTGCTTGGTGACAAGTAGTAAAAACAATTAATGCATATAACATAGAGCACGTTAAATAATTATTATTAACCATAGTGGTGCGTGAAATAATATGGTTGAGAATGAATGGCCTGCAACAGCTAGAGTTTATAGCTAAATACAACCAACAAACCAGCAACCTACAACTTCAACACGCCATCTACTCCAATGTCTCATAATCTCGTTCTTTATTTCACCCAATCCATTCTCGACTACATTGACAGAATTTTTTATTTATTTCTACTCTACCAATTCATCACGACAATACAGTATCTGTAAATTTTATTGCTAGAGGAAATGTGGAAAGCCCCTCCAGTCATGATCTAAATTTTAGTATTTGTTGGCCCAAATTAGAAAATATCTCTTTTATTTTTATTTATGATAAAATAAAGACGGGATGGGTTCAATTGTTTATTCATTTTTTTTTTCATCTTCATAATACACGTTTGTACATTATCATCGAATGACATAATTATCATGTGTATATTAGGGAACTTTTGCCCCGACAAAATTTGCTCGAATTCCAACTGTCAAGGGTTCCTTTTCATGCATGAAAAGGTATGCACGGGACTTAGGTTTTCTGTACCCTCCGAAAAGCTACCATCCTGGTCAGGCCTTCCGGAACAGTAGGACGTTAAATCCCATTCCATGTTATTTCAGATCTTTCGTCCTGCACCCTTGAAATGGGAACTCCTGGTTGGAAAACCCCGATGAACTTTATCTGCCAACAATGGGATCGAACCCGTGACTTCTCCCTCTCACCCGCTGAGCCAGGCAACTAATTTATAAATATACGCCTACCGGCCACATTTTCGTCTGGGTCGAAATGGAAAACTATCACAATACTGTATTGCAATCATATGAGGGACATGACTTGGAAAGTTTCATATATTTCAATCTGATCTTGTTATAGTTATTCGCCATAGTCAAGAAACCTTATTAAGACCCTTGGGACTACAGTTATCTGACTTTTAGGCCTACTTATTTCTGATGTATATCTTTTGAGTTTGTGTAAGAGGAAGAAACCCATTGGGGTTTTTTTACGTGTAATTGCAGCACGAAGATATGAATGCCAGCTATATAAAGAGGAAGAAACCCACTGTTTTTTTTACGTTAACAGCGTGATTTAACGCCTTTGTTATAAGATATTTCTCTCATAATACTTTATTTGCTCAGTGACCTCTTTAAGACCGTGGTACCCGAACAACAAAAGAATCTGCTTTATTACGTTGATTGGCAAACAATGTTTAGTTTGGGAACTATTTGCTTTAGATTTTAAGCATGTGTTTCTGTTCTGTAGCCTATCAATCTCGGCTCCCAGAGATAAGTTTCCGCCTCTGGGGAAAACTCTCCGGCCATTTTGAATGACACGTGAAGTATCCTTCCATCGGTCGCTTCACAAAGATCCAAGATGGCGGCTTAAACTCGCATTTCTTCAGAAATTTCGCGTATTTAGCCGAATCACCCTCATTGCGCGCTACAAATAGTTCCCGGAACATCATCAAATCGGCTTTTTGTGAATGAACTTTTGATGTCAAGATGTGGAAAATGTTCCAATGATCCTTTATATGTAACTCATGCGATTAGCCGATGCCTAATTGTTGAGAAATCGGTAGCATTTCATTCAAACAAGGGGGTTGGATGGCCGAATGGTTAGCACGTGCGTGCTGTATCATAAAGCCTGTCATGAGTCAACTGGCGTGGTTTCGAATCCCCGGTTGTACGTGACAAGGAGTAGGGTCGCCTGTCCAACCTCGTGGGTTTTCTCCATGTCCTCCCACTGCTAAAGACCACTGCGTGCAAGCGAATTATTGAAATAAAATTAAACCATATGTTAGTTCCGAAATGACCTAGTTTGTGTCGAGTGGACGTTAGTCCCGAAATGACCTAGTTTGTGTCGAGTGGACGTTAAACCCCATATATATCTCTCTCTCATTCAAACAAATTCAGCCAATCAGGAGCCGTTGGGGGCGGGACTTAGGAATTGACTGATTAATGAGTTTTCCCCAGAGATGAACAAAGGGTAACCTTATCTCTGGGAGCCGAGATTGGTAGCCTGTATCGATGGTGGCATTATAGACTAAAGCATTGTGCTACATATCTTCCCTCTGTCAATATTGTCACGAATTTAGTTGAGAGTTTGATCCGACGATTTATGTTAACATGCTGTTTTGTCCCACTGGCTAACGTGTTCCGAGATGACCCAGTTATGTTCGTCCGGTGATGATTGATTGAGGAATAATAATAATAATTACTTATTTCAAAAGGGTTGAAAATTAGGCCACAAAAAAGAGATAGAAATCTACACATTAAAAATATATGTATACATTATATATAAAAAAAAACCAAAAAAAAAACCCAACAACAAATAAAGCCCAAGAAAAAAAAACCCCAAGTTGAACATGTATTTACAGATGTACACTTTTGGCACATAAAAGGTGCAACATGGCTTTAAAGAAGATTGACTGTGACAAGTTCATAATTAATACATGCTACAATGTATATACTATATAGATTGTATGAATATAAGGTTAATCAAATCGGATGAAAGACGGTATAATTAATTTTCATTTAGATATTTAATTCGTTGAGCTCGGAAGGCGTTGCCGGATTTCAAGTGTTCGAGAAAACATGGTAATGTGTTCCATAGGCGCGATCCACAGAATTTAATACTATTTTTGACTACATTAAGATTTGGTCTTAGTACAATCAGTCGTTTATTAATGTTAGAGTAAGGAGTGGAATTATATACTATTCAAAAAAAGTAGGGGATATTTGATTTTTAAGTGTTATTAAAGTCACCTAATGAAACTGACGAAGAAACAAATGACAAAATGAAATGAAGTTCACATTCATCGATTTATTCCAAATGATCGTTAGACTAAGTAAGGCACAGACTGACCATTATAAGGGTAAAATGATACCCGGGGTCAAACAGCAAAGTTACCACAGCATCACAACCAAGTCAGTAACGGGTAAATCCTCCTCTGTTTGCCAAACAAGCATTGATCCGACGTGGCATACTCCTAATGAGACGTCTAAGGTCATTTTGGTCCAGATTGTCCCATTCCTGTTGCAACGCAGCAGCAAGTTCTTGGACATTGGCAGGATGTTGTTGACGTTGACGTAACCTCTGTCCAAGCATGTCCCAGACATGCTCGATGGGGGAGAGGTCGGGACTCAGTGCTGGCCAAGGTAATGTGGTGATGTTCTGTTGTTGGAGGTAACCTGTAACGATCCTGGCCCTGTGACATCTTGCGTTGTCATCCTGGAAGATGAAACGGCGGCCATGACGTCGTGCGAACGGCACAACATGGACTGCCAAGATGTTGTCCCGGTAGTACTGGCCTGTAACACGCCCTGCAACAACATGTAAAGCCGTTCTTCCAGCAACAGTGATGCCTCCCCACACCATAACAGAACCACCCCCAAATCGATCATGTCTGATGACGTTAACGTCTTGGAAGCGCTCGTTTCGACGACGCCACACCCTCCTACGTCTGTCCAAAAAATCAACAGTGAACCTTGACTCATCTGAAAACATCACATTGCTCCAGCGTCGATTATCCCAGTGTTGACGATCCCTACACCAACGACGTCTTGCCTGAATGTGATGATCTCTCAAACAAGGGATCACGCGATGACGTCGGGCGCGAAGGTGACCCCTATGCAGTCGATTCCGAATCGTCTGGCCACTCACTCTCACACCAGTGTCTGTTTGAAGACGAGCGCTGATCTGATTTGCTGTGATGACACGATTTCTCAAGGCCAAAGTACGGATAAATCGATCCTGGGCTTGAGTTGTCGCCCTTGGTCGACCTGAGCGTGGTCTGTCCTGTACAGATTGTGTATCACGGTATCTGGACCATAGCCTGCTTATGACAGACTGAGAAACATTCATCGTCCGCGCCACAACCGCCTGTGTTGTGCCGATCTGTAGCATGCCAAGGGCACGTAACCTTTCATTTTGGGTAAGCCGACGCATATCAAAATTTGTTTTCTGGTCACTAAAACAATTAAACTGATGTTTCCACCCTGGAATTCAATGCCACAATGACTGTAACATTCAAAGTCAGAGTCGTGCAAATCTTGGGTTGGACCCCCATGATGATCCCAAGCATCACCTGCATTCCATGCGGTAGCTATTGGTGCGTTTGGGCGTCACATGTAACTGGAAATGTTTCTTCTGTTAGGTTCTATAGTGACTTTTTTCGTAGTCATTTGCATATTTTAGTATTATGCCCCCAAAATCAAATATCCCCTACTTTTTTTGAATAGTATATAACAGTGTTTCAGCGAGGTAGTTTGGGCATTGCTGGTTTGTAATTCTGTGCAAGAACACGACGTATTTATTTAATAGATGCCTGTTTTTCACATTCAAAACATTTATACTGTTATTATTGGCTGCATGAAAAGTTTCGACAGTGTGTCGAACATCGAGAATAAGTTTAAGAGCTGAATTTTGCTGGTGTTGAGTAAGTCTGAAAATTGTTTATCAGAGCTGTCACATATATGTGAACAGTAATCAAAATAGAGTTGAATATTTGATTTGTAAAACATAGACCGAAATTTAATAGGTAGAAGTTGTTTTAATTTGCAAAGTTGAAATAATTCTTGGTTAATGATTTTTGAAACATATTTAACATGTTCATTCCACTGAAGATGGTTATCCATGATTACGCCTAGTAGTTTGAAGTTTGAGACATTTTCTATAATAGAATTATTGATAATTATTGACAAGTTAGGCTGAATCTGTTTTCTTTTCCGTTTAGTAGTAATTACCATACATTTAGCTTTTTGTTCATTTACAAGCATAAGGTTAATTTGGCACCATTTGAATAGGGAATCGGTATCTAGTTGTAATTTAAATTGTAGATCAGATATGTTATTTGCCTCAGTGTAAACCGTAGTGTCATGGGCAAATAGGTCACAGGAGGCTTTGAGTTGGAGGGGTAGATCATTTATAAAAATGTTGAACAGTAAAGGACCTAGGATGGACCCCTGCGGGATTCCATGT